CATATATATATATATATATATATATATATATATATATATATATATATATATATATATATATTTTATTCTGGATGGGATGAAATGCCTCATAAAAACCCATCTGTCACAGAAAAAACAACAACAACAACAAAAAACAATTTAAAGAATAAGATTCCATGAAACATTGGTCTGTTTGTGAGTCAGACAAGTGTTCTCTGAAAGCACTCTGCTGAAATCCTCTACAGCTCAGTGTCCCATCCTGCTTGCTGTAGCTAAGCTTTTAAAGCCTCAACAAATAGGAATCTAAAAGTGCTGTGCGATAGTATGCAACCAATTGGTCAAGGTTTGTCTGGTTAGCATAACCCAGTTAGCCCCTGTTAGCAGGTGCTGTATCATCTGGCTGCAAAAGACATCTTCCACCACTGATAGTGGTCACAGCCATGATTTCTATTCCCAGTGACTTCTCTGATTGGTGGATCTCTCTTCAGGGTTCTAAACTCTATAAAAAGGTTCTTTACATGTAGTAACTGTTCTATATAGAACCCTAGCATCCTGAAGAACCCATTCATGCTGAAATGGCTCATTTTGTTCAAATCTGTAACTCATTACTGGAGCTCGTTATAACATATACTGGAGCTCAGTGATCCCAACTACAACAGCGGTGTCCAAACCTGTTCCTGGAGGGCCACTGTCCGACAAAGTTTAGCTCCAACCCCAATTAAACACACCTGAACCAGCTAATCAAGGTCTTACTAGGCATACTAGAATCTTCCAGGTAGGTGTGTAAGACAAGTTGGAGCTAAACTGTGCAGGACACCGGCCCTCGAGGACCGAGTTTGGACACCCCTGAACTACACAGACTGTCAACACATTCTCAACAGGCTAAATTATTTCATTCTTAAATTTAAGTTTTAAATAGTAACTGATTTCCAAACAAACATGTTCTTTTCTCATTTTAGTTTTTTTGGTCACATTTAAAGTACGACCAGCTTTGTTAAGCTGAGGATACTTCTTTCCTCTTCTCCACCAAGGAATTTTGTTAGATTTTTTTTTCTATTATTGGGTTTATGCATAAACATACCCAGTCACAAAAAAAAAACATTAAAGATATCCCATGACTATATCACTTTTTCCTTTAAACACTGTGTGAACGGTTGACATACTGTCCATTTGTTGCTACTTTTGGCCTTCGTGATCTTAATTGTTTTTACATAAACAAATAGAAGAGACACTGTAACTCTAATTCAATTATGTATTTTAGATGCTGTCAGATCCCACAACCTCATCATCTGCACACCAAAATGATGACCTTAAAAGCATCATAGAGGACTGTGAAGATACTTCACTGCATCGCATCTATTTTCTGTTTCTATGTTGTATTTTACTTCTTTATGTATTTATTCGTTCAATGTCAATTGTCATTTATTAATCTGTTCAGCTAATAACTGTATAAGAGCACAGACATCTTTGCTACATTTTTACATATAAAACAGTACCTAATTCACACAAAATGAAAATTATATAAAAATTGTATTAATAATACTAATATTTTACACACACGCGCACACACACACATATACTAATATATACTAGTATATACACACACATATATATAATAATATAAACGAAAATAAGCTTTACCAATAAAAAAGTTATTTATAACACCATCAAGGTCCTATATAGCACTTTCAAAGCGTGCTTCTTTATTGAACCTTATAAAAATCATTCTGT